ACTAGGATCAGCATTGTTGGATTCAAAAGATTTATTAACCAACTGAATCTCTAGCAATATTGGGTGTAAAAATTTTAGATATGCAAAATTATTATTATCATTGTACATTTGATATAAAATTTCAGCATTGTAACACTTCTCTTTATTCCTAGCAATACTAAAAAGTGTTTTTAGCTCAATCCATTGGTTTATAATACGACCTACAGCGGTCTCAATAGACAACCATCTGGTGTTGCAAGACTTGACAATTTTTAATGGACTGTGATTGACGTTGATTGCCTTGTACAAGTTCTTATATTCAGCTTGGCGCAACGACGAATGAGCAAACCAATTGTACGTTTCCTTTATGAGGTATTCAATGTTTCTGGGAATGGTGTCATTAGCTGCTGCTGAAACAGCTAGCTGAAGTGAATGACATACACATGGTATGTGTATTAATGTAGGGACTTCAGATAATATTTTTTTATACACACCATTATTGATGCCTACCATAACTGACGCGTTATCACTCCCTAAACCAACCATATTTTTTACGTTAAGATTTTTCTTCTTTAAGGTAGTTAGGACTGCATGAGTGATTGCATCAGCATCACAAGCTTCTAATTCAACCAGAGATAAGTATGTGGAAACTATTTTACCCATATCTTGGTTAAAGTACATTATACTTATACCCAGAAATTTTAAAACACTGATATCCGTAGATTCGTCAATCAACAAACTGAATGGTTGATTACCGATTTCATTTATTAAACTTTTTTCGAAGTGTGGTGCTAACGAATTACATATTATATATGTGCACTTCTATGCATTTTTATCCCTTTGCCAGCTTCTGAATCGTYGAACTGAGATTTACATAAGACGCCAAGGTGGTCACAACTAAGTATAGAGCAGTGAGCCGCAATATATAAGCACAATTTACCTTCTGCACAAGCTGTCTTAACTGATGTAGGTTTTACATAGTTGGAAATGGTTCTAGATAAAGAAAAGTCTTTCGAAGATATAATGTGTTTTTTTGTCTTGGCATGCTGAATTAAATCAAACCGTTTTGCATTGACATCACATTTACAAAATCGGCATCTTCCTTTAGAGGTATCATCGTTCTTTACCAACCAATCTTTGAAAAGACTGTCTTTCAGCCAGTCATCTTTAAACTTTTGAGGATATTGTACTTTCCCCATATTCTTGATAGTCACGATTAAAATAATATACTTAATTAATTTGTGGTCTACAATATAGTGAATAAGTAAAAAAGTGATAATGAAACTATTAAAAATGTATAAGTTGTATTGTTGTAACATGTAACACATTGCCAGCATTAAYTATGCCCACGGCTATGAATGGTCAATGCCCAATGGATTATGGATACACTAATATACTATAATATTATATTATCTACTATCTAGTTATGACTTATGTTACCGTGCCCCCGCAGGTTTAAATACCTAGGTATTAGTCTATCTATAAATACGAGCTTTAATTTGCCTTCTGTGAATATTAATAAACACGATTTATCAATAATTATCATAGATCATAGGCCATGATAGCACAATCAAGGTGTATTGATATCAATTTTATTATGACCGTAGCCAAGACAGAAATGATTTGTGAAAATATTATTTTTAATTTTTATACTGATATATTAATAATAATAAAAAAAAATTTAATTTAATTTAATTATTTAAATAAACCGCAACAGGAAAAACAGTTACATAAAAATGCTAAATAATCAAAATTATTTAATGAATAATGCTATGTTTAAAGCCACTTGCAAAACGATATTTTTGATAGCTAGACGACACTTGAAAAATGCTAGAACTAGCTATAAAATAGCTAGAATGGCAACACTG